CTCTCAGACTGCAGGTTTACTTGTGGTTCTCAGAGTTTCCAGAAGTACAATGGCAGGCAGAGCCTTCAGTTATCAGGCTCCTCTGTGAAGTGATGCTCTACATAAAATAAATGGAATAAAATAGAAGGAGGATTACCTCCACATTCTTCAGAAAAACATCAAATCATAAGCCAGAAGGTTGGCTCTTGGATACAGTAAGGTGGTCCAGCAAAACAATGACCCCAAACACATATCAAAGTGGTAAAGACATGGCCAAATCAGGTTATAACTAAGGTTTTAGACGGCCTCCCCAACATACTGACTTGAACCCCATCAATGACCTGTGGACTGTGTTAAAGAAACATATGTGTGTCAGACAACCAACAAATTTAGTTGTACCAATTCTGTCTGACAAACATAAGCATTCCAGAGGTTTGCGGATGGCTACCAAACGCACCGAACTGAGGTGAAAATTGCAAAGGGACATTTAACCAAATGCTAGCATTGCTGTAAGTATGTTTTTGACTCAGCAGATCTTGTCAAATTTCCAGAAGACCTGTAATAAATCTATGGAAAAAAAAATAAAATTATTGGTTGCTTTTGGTGACAAAGACACGTGTGAAAGATATAGGAGTCATTGAAAACTCACGACTACCAGGATATACATTTGTCTTTATAAGTGCAACTCTTCTACCTGCATTTCACACTGTGAGTCATGTCCACCAAAAGCCAGATAACAGACCACAGACAGCCAGAGTCAGAAACTAATTCTCATGTGTTACTGCTGCTAGATGTTGCATCTATAAATCGGAATACAAATTGGAGAACAGCATTAAGCAATGTATCACATAGAATTAACAGTTATCTGAACCTCACCCTGGCTCCTCCAACAAATGCAGGCGTCTTTGTGGCTTCTGCATAGCTGTCGTAAACATTAGGATACTGGATACGTTCATACACTCTTTGTCTGCTCAGTACAGGGTCACGTCGTGCAGTCAGGAGGGCCTGCTCTCTGTTTTAACACAAAAGACATATTTTACATAAAACATTAAAGGGAACGACAGTGAACAAATAGTAAAATTGAACACCTAAGATGGGAAAAGAATTTTAACATGTTAACATTGCAACAAAAATTAGCACAGTAACACATCTGCAATCACTTGGATCCATACGGGAACCATCTCCATCGATATTCCTGCTTCAAAAATAAATAGCGCCGTTGATGAATGATTCAAATGAAGTGGCAAAGATGTGAGGCATTATGTTCCTTCCTAAAGTGGCTTACCTCTCCACTAATCTTTTCCTTCACACTGTGCTGGATTTGGCCATGCTAAGTTTTTAATTAAACAGATCGCTGCTCTTTTTTTTTATCCTCTGAAATTAAACTTTTAGAAAAATCTTCTTCAAGGAAAAATGTGACAAGCTGCAGAGTCGTGGTGCTTTTTTTTTTTTTTTTATAAAGCTGCAGCCAAGTAGTCATAAAAAATGGAAAAGTTTGTTAGTTTTTGAGTCAGCTATCCAAGATCACAGGTGGAGACAGACAGTGAGAACAATGGGAAATGAGAGAAAAGGATGAAGAGGAAGTTTGGAGAGATGACATACCGCTGGGCTCTCATCTCTCTTGGGTCAAAGGTCATGACTACATCTGAAAAGTCGGCATCATCGGTTCCTTTGGCTCTCTTCCTCTCTTTCTTCTCTTCCCTTCGGTACATTTTCATCATTTGTTTCTCCTGCTCTGACTGGATGGTCACCTGGCACCCATAGGCAGGCTTGGTCACTTCACCACTGATTTTTCGGCTGCCATCTGAAAGAAATACAGGCAAAATGACAGACGATTAAACGTGACACGATCAAAGGTTTTCCCGCACTGTGTTAAATAATTTTATTTCTATTTCTATAGATGGAAGTGCAATGGAGATGAAGACAACTGACAAAATCCCCCAATTAAGCATAAGATGCAAAGTAACAAAATAACTGACATAGAAACAGGAGAAAAAACATCACACCAGTGTTGACATCCACATAAAACTAAAATCTTACTAGTTAGTACGCACAATATTTCACTGTAACACCCATCCATGTTTAAAAGGACAAGAGTATGAGGAAATGTAATGTAACTTTAAATAATTGAAGTATTGTGAAGCAACAAAACAGTTTGTGGACACAGAAAAGATTTGTACGTCAACCAGAGTTTGTAACTACTGATTAATATTCCACCACTAATCTTGACATCCCAGTGATAACAGACATAGGTGCAGGTGGCACTGCATGGGTTAATGTTCCTCACTGCAGTCTCGCTGTTTGAGACACAACAGCTCAATATAAGGCAGAATTGCTCTTGAAAACAGATGAGATCTGATGATTGCACAATGGCCTGGGCTGATTGACTGAATGATTTCTTCTTTATCTCGTCTAGCGGCTCTACCTGCTGCACAGCCTCCCTCTCGTTCTAACAGCTCCCCTCTTCCTGTCACTCTTATCCTCCCTCCCATTACCTCTCTAACTCCAAACCCCTTTAACTCTGTCACCCTCTATGCACCAATTCCTCTGTCTAAACCATTTGCCACCCCTTACTTTCCCTCTCTCTGGGAGCAATTGTGCCTTGTTACGTGTCTCTAACAGTGATTGCCTCCAAATCCCCAGGATTTTCATTTCCACAAGCGATCATGGTGCTATAATTGCAGAGAAGAGCATCGCCATGATAGATCATGTTTGTTTACAAGATGGCTTCATGGTGTTTTTACAAATTTTAAACTGAAGCTTTCATGATCATTATCAGATTTTCAAGAACGGTGTGGTTACACGACACAGCAGATTTTTAAGAAGAGCCTTAAACTGTATTACAACAACGGTCAAAAGATATGTAACTTTGTCTTTTACAAAGAAATAAAATAGATGAAAGTCATCTACAGTGCTTAAAGTTCAAGGGAAATTTACTGATTTTAACAGGCGCTTTATGAAATGAAAGGAAAAAAGTCACAATATGGGTCATGAATGTGTACGTACAGAGTGTTAAAAAACAAACGGTATTTAGATGCTGGTTATTCATTTTTGCTATTAGGGTTTACTGAGTGTAGATAGGAAAAATGTATTTTCCATTTAAAATGTTATTAATAATATAACAAATGGTGCGAAAACTGAAAGAGTTAAAATACTTTATGGAGAGGCTAAGCGTCAACAATTGGAAACATGAAATAAAAACAACACAAAAATAAAAGATAAATAATCAAGATAAGATGGATCATTAATCATTTTCTACTTTTTTTTTTCTAAACCGATTTCTTCTCTCTTTCTTTCTTTTTTTTCTACACTGAAATTACTACCTATCTGACAGATATGTGCTGATTCAACAGCAGTAATGTTGCCTCAGTAGCGGATTTCTCCAACCAATTGGAAACTGCTTCTCAACATTGAATCAGTGCCAATTTTCATGTGTTTTGTTTTTTTGACAAGAATTTACAAAAACAGAATTTCGTAAATGCCTGTCAAAGTGAAAACTGAGTCAGGTCTTTGTCGAAGCATAACTGCATGCAATCTTTAGGAGACCTATGACTTGGCAGAATCTTTGTTTTCCAGCAAGACAACAACCTGAAGCTTACAGACAGAACTGAATAGAAATGCTTTAAAGACAACGAGGTGAATGTTGGACTTCAAAAGAGCTGTTCCCGGCCTGAGACAGCTTGAGCAGTTTGCTAATAATAAATACAGTTGCAGTGTCCAGATGTGCAAGACTGACAGAGACCCATCCATACATGCTTAATGCTTTAATTATGGTCAATCTAGCAAAAACTGATTTCACTTTGACAAGAAAGGGTGTCTATCAGTCATATCAAAAACAAATTCTATGTTCTGATCAGAAATGATCTTAAACTTAAAGTGGGAAAAGAGACTGGTTTGTTGTAAGACTTGCTTAGCAATGACAATCATGCAACACTTCTCTGAATCTGCTGAGTTCTCCTTTGTTAGTTGTTACCCTCTCAGCTGTGACCTGAGTTTGTACTTAAGCAGCACAGAAAAGTACTGTTCTGATCATGGCCTAAAGGAAATTGTCCAAAAATGCTAGTTAGAGAAACACTGGCATCATCATCTTTTTAAATTCTTGACAGAGCCATTTGCTAAGGTACATGAAGTCAAGGAGAATGAGTCCTGTGCAGTTCCCTACACATTCTTGACAGCTACTGTATTATGTTTGAACAGAGAAATAAATACACTTAATGATTTAGCCAAAAGCATTTGCAAACACAAACACAAGCCCCAATGGGAGGCTATCTCTACCAGGTTGGAGCTGTCAGTGCCCCAATGAGTACCACAGACCAAGTGTGTCTCCTTACTGCTTTAGATAAGGCTAGATAACACAGCTCAGACCTTGACAATTTTCCAGTATAGTAAACAGACCAAGGTAATGTTGAAAATGAGCTATCACTAAAATAAAAATATAAAATTTGCTTTGCTGGAAGCGTTAGAATAAATTTGCATATTTAGCCATCCAGTAGACAGATCTCCCCAGATACTGTACAGACATCTCGCTTTTAAATCACTAATTGTTCCAACTACATCTACCAGCTAGATTGATGAGAGCAAAGTTTGCAGGAAAACCAAAAATCCTACTAAAACTAGAGGAAGTAAACATTCCTAACACCTGGTTATAATCCTCAACAGGCTTCTTCCAATGAATTAGTTCCCTTTCATTTCACATGTTTAGATCATTTGTTCATTTGAAAATAGTGTTACTCCATCTCAAATCATCAGGGTCTTCTGTTGAACCATCTCTGATCTGCTTGAAACTTTTTTGTTACAATATTGATATTTAAAATAGTATCTGTGGCCTTTTAGATTGAAATATCAAGTATGTTCAGAGATAATTTTGGTTTTTAAAATTACCCATCGACCCAGCATGTTTTTTTGCACATTAAAATTTGAGGCTGTGTTTGGATGACAACATCTCAGTAACTATTTATTTTCACTGTTACTTCTCATTATGCAATTGATTCAGAATCTGCAATATTAGACAAGTAAATCAAATAGTCTGTGATAATGGAAAGTCACATCTCTGAGCACACATTAACAAAAAGGTTGATCATGTCAACTCGTGATATTTTCTGAACCATGTGTAGGTGCACATCACAATGCTAACACATAGATACTTTTTTAATATGAAATACTTGGTTACAAAAATGAAGGAAAGTTTGATAACTCATTGAGCAAGTCTTGACAAGCTGTACCACACTCTCTGTTGCTAGATAGCCTGATCCAAGTACAACAAAGGGATGGAGATTCAAAATGGTTTTTCAAATATAACTAAGAAAAATAGTTCTAAACATTGTTATTTTTAGTTTATTTTGTTATGTCCCCGTGCTTCCTGCTCTCTCTTACATTTAATATTGTTTTGCAAAAAACTAAATTATCAAATTTTAGCAAGTAGGCCTAAATCAATGCCTACTTTCAATGTATTTGTCAATTATTTGGCCACTTTCTCTTTAAAACATTAGACAGCAGTGAGCAATGTCCATGGCAGTGTCCTAAAACTTGATCTAATGTCTTCAAATGTCTTGTGTCACCCACCCAACCATCCAAAACCAGCCACCAGTCCCATTTAGGAAGCTGGAACCTGAGAATATCTATCACTTTTGTAACATTTAAAGCTTAGATATTGTTATGAAACTATTAGCAGATTCATTTTCTGTCAGTTGACTAATTCATTATAAAACTGGTAAACCTGCAGCTCTGCCCTCCTGTTCTCACCTCCTTAAATTCCATTAAAGGGACTGTAGGGTAAAAAAAAAAAAATAAATAAAACGTTTAGACTGCAGGTTTGCAACAGTAAATAACCCTGAGTTGCTCTCTGCACAGAGACAGAAGGAAAAGTTATGTTTTTCAATGAGATGAGGTTGAAACAGTTTTTTCCACAGTGACATTCATCCATTTAGGGGCATTAAAATATACGACAGTCTGTGAATGTAATTGTTATCACCTCAAATATACCCCGATTTATCTAACATCTGTCAAAACCTTCCTTGATGTGTGTCCACACTACCTTTCTAATTGTACATTCCATACAGCAGTACCTCTATTAGCCACTGAAATGTGAAGAGGAGCCACCAAGAGAATCTGTTCTTTGATAAACATGCAAGTGCCAAGCAGCAAATTGCAATTTGAAAGCTAATCAGCAAGAGACAGGCATTCTCACTAAATCCCACTCTTCCCAATGGCATGCAAATAGTGGAAAATTTAATCAGCCTTTTTTTTTTTTTACCCCTCCTGCCTTCACCCTCAGTCGTCAAGGCAACACTAAGCTCAAAAGCTGTCTGGCAAGTGATTTTTTTTTAACACTGATCAAGAGTTCTTCATTAATGGAATAATATCAGCTGAGGTTTGAAATATTATATGGGAGTGACCACAATTACAGCTGATTTTCTCTGGTATGATACATTGTAACAATGTTTATATTGCTACATTTTTATATTTGGTTTGTTTAGTTGCACACTGCCCCATCAAAGGTGAGACATAGCGTCATGCTGAATCAAATGTATGCTACACAGAGATTTGGCTAAATGAAATCTGTCATCCTGCCAGGTTAGAAGATTTGGGAACGAAGAGTCACATATAATTCCAGCCCATGTGTATGCAGCAGTATTTGATAGACTGTGCTCTGCTGTAATTTGTAATGTTCAAGAAGCAAGAGCAACAGCTAAAGGTGAGCACTGGTCCAGATGCTTGCACTGATTTGGTTCATTTAGTTATGCAAGAGTGCAAAAAAATGTTGTTAAAGGATGCGCAATGATGCTAGCTTGTTACTTTTTCACA